GGACTGCAAAGAAAAATTGACATTCTAAACGACTACTGTACAACGTGGGGATTACAACTTAACATTGGTAAAACAGAGCTATTGGTTTTTCGAAACGGAGGTAGATTACGTCACTATGAAAAATTGTTTCTTCAAGGAGCACAGTTAAAAACTTCTACATACTACAACTATCTTGGAATACTCTTCTCTACACGTCTGTCATGGACTACATGTACAGAGACACTATCAACCAAAGCAAACAAGGCATTATTTTATATTAAGAAGTTAATCTACATGTATCCACATATTCGAGTTAATATTCTTTTTAAGCTCTTTGATACCAAAGTGAAGCCAATTTTACTTTATGGTGCAGAAGTGTGGGGTTATCAAGAACGACAGTTAATTAACAAATTTCATACAAATTTCTGTAAATATGTTCTTGGTGTAGGTAAGCATGTTTCTTGCAATGCTATATTAGCAGATTGTGGTAGATATTGTGTAAGTGTTGATTATTATGTTAAATGTGTACGTTACTGGTGTATATTACTTCATATGTCTGAAGACAGGAATCCTAAACAATGTTATATTTTGATGAAAAATCTCGACTCAGCTGGTAGATATACTTTGGCATCAAATGTAAAAGGTTTGTTAAACATCAACGGGTTTGGATTTGTGTGGTTTAGTCATGATGTTGGCAATATTAATCATTTTATATCCATGTTCAAACAAAGGCTTAAGGGGCAAAGCATATTGAGTAGAATTAATGAATCATCGCATTTAGCTTACTACAAGACCATTAAATCTTTATTAGATGTAGAGTTGTATGTTTCAAATGTACATTTTAAAGAATATAGACGATATATATGCTTACTTAGACTTCATCACCTACCCCTTCTTTGTAATGTAAGACGAAAAGATGATAGATATGCCTCAACAATATGTAAAATGTGTAACAATAATATCCCAGAGGATGAATTACATTTTCTTTTTGTCTGTGATGCATATGTAACGTTACGTAGTGTATATTTACCAAATTTTGATCAACTATCATTAAGTTTAAAAAATTAATGCAATGTAATGATACCAGTATTCTTCTAAAAACTGTGCAGTTTATTAAGCATGCCCTCGTGATCAGATCAAATGTGTGTAAATAATGTGTAACCTTGCATATTGCCTTGTCTAAACTGATATTTTGTACATGGGCCGATGGCCTACTTACAGAATTAAGTCATAAAGAAAGGCTAAAACAAGGGAAAAAGTTAAAATTTTCCAATCTGTTTACAATCACACAAAGATGACGTTGTGGAAAGAAATAGTATATTTGTATTGTTTTTGCTGCAGCAACATGAATCCAATATTCTCCTAATCACTGGTATGCGTTTCTGTTTTTTTAACAGTGTAAATTAAAGTGTGTGGAGAATAAAACCCGGGTCTTCGGCGTTACGAGCGAACGCCTAAACCACTTGGCTCCCCTACCGCCCCTCAACAAGTATCACTGATAATTGGCGCTAACAGTGTCCGTGAAAGTGGCGGTGCGCCTGTAAAATCACATCCTTGAGATTGCGCAATAATTTGTCCTTTTGTCTATGAATATTTTATTGTACAAAACATTTATTTTTCACCTACAACTTGCGACTGTGTCACCGTATTGTAAAGTTTCTACTATTAGTTTTGCTGAATGTTATTGAGGGAATCGTCATCATATGTCTAGACTTGCACAGTCAAGTCTCTTTTGTGATCTAGTTTAAATGAACATTTCCTCAAAGAATTCTTAGAACTGTCCGCCTATCTACACTTGCCCCTTTAAAGGACAGAGTTACTATACATCCATGGGCTTACCCTTCAGTAAAGCCTCGGAGCAAGGCTATCGTTTGTCCAGCGTGTTATGTCTGTGTCAGTGACATTCATCATAGTGAGTTACGTGTGGTCACCGAGAGAGGACATCACATTTTCTCCTTCAGTTACGACGGCAAGAAAGCGATAACAAGAGAAGAAAAAACGATAGCGCGAGACGAGAAAGCGATGTATGAATATCAGTTTTCGTCTCGTGCTATCGTTTCTTGTTAGGACTTTCACGCGGCCGGAATGAAAGGCGAGAAAGAGATGTCTCCTCTCGGCCAGTATACAGAGGCGGGTCCAGAGGGGGTGTTTAGAGTTACGATATTCTTTATAATCGGAGACTGGAGCGTGTAAGTTTTAAGAATTTCCTAAAATAATACTGTCAGAAACAATGGTTAAAAAATTTGTATTATTGTATTATGACCGCATCGATTGTTTCGAAAGTTATGATCCGCATTCCTCGTCTACATCCGTAACCAAACTCGTGACCTACTCGTGTTATTCCGGGACAAGCCGAATAGCGAGAGTTTACGGAAAGCGGCGAGTGGTGACGAATGGACCTATTCGTGACCAACTCGTGTTATTCCGGGACAAGCCGAATAGCGTCTTCTTGGAGTTTACGGAAAGGGGCGAGTGGTGACGAATGGAATGGACCAACTCCATTCGTGACCAACTCGTGTTATTCCGGGACAAGCCGAATAGCGTCTTCTTGCAGGTTACGGAAAGGGGCGAGTGGTGACGAATGGGACCAACTCTTGTTATTTCGGGAGATAGCGAATTTACGGAAAGGGGCGAGTGGTGACGAATGCCGTAACCAAAGCGTCACCGTTCGTCTTCTTCCTGAGCTATCTGAGATGAGGGCAAATAGGCTACTTATGCTTTACTGACAGACTATGCTTTAGGATGGTTTAATTATATTCTTGCAAAAATGAGATGTAAAGCGTCTCAGAGCTACCTTCCTTGAAAGTGCCAGACCCCAATTAATCGTGATCTTGATTTCCACAGCGACATATGTCTCATATTTGAGTGGGTACATGTTCAAGGAACGGATACATCCTCATCAGTGTTAGTTCGAAACGTCTGCTTGGCCGGCACTCCATGGAATGCAAGTGGAACTTGTGAGCAGAACCCCTCATTCTAACAAAGGGTTACGCCCTTTCGCATGTTTGTAATTCTCGGATCCGTGAAGATCAGGGTTAGAATTGATCTTCAGTAACCCATGCTTGTCGTAAGAGGCGCCTAAGGGGATCGGGTGGTACGTCTAGCTGACTTGGTTGACACATGTCATTGTATCCCAATTGCGTAGATCGATGCTCATGCTGTTGATCACTGAATTGTCTGGACCAGACTCGATTATTTACAGATCTCCGCCATATAGCTTGAATATTGCTGAGTGTGGCATAAAACTAAGCTCAATCACTCACTCAATTTTGATTCTCGCCAAATATATATAGGCGTAATAGGCATTGAACACACTCGCTGTCATGGAAAGTCTTTCATGCAGTTATGAAACATTAGTGGTGAATTTAGAATATTATTGTTGTGTCCCCATGATTGTGCCATGGGCGTGGCGTCATCCTGGGGATGGAATTCTTACGTTGTCACCTTGATGACGCGGTTTGGTCATGTGAACATGTGGACCCCGGTTCAGAAGACCAATTGTTCGAATCCCACTACGAGACTCGGGTGTATATAGTACATCACCCCACTGACTCTTCGTACGATGGAGGGGCGGTGGGTGTAGCCTAGCGGTAAAGGCATTCGCTCGTCACGCCGAAGATCCGGGTTCGATTCCCCACATGGATACAATGTGTGAAGCCCATTTCTGGTGTCCCTCGCCGTGATATTGCTGGAATATTGCTAAAAGCGGCTTTGAACTAAACTCACTCACTCACTCGTCTGATAGAGACATGAAGCAATTCACGAAATACACTTTGAACGTTTATTACTATTAGTATCATGCCATCAACTCTCCTGGCCTAGTTGTGGCATGAATTCATATTATTGAACCGTTATTTCAATGTTCACATAACCAGGGTGCTCACAATCGTCTTATGTATTAATGTAAATCCTGTACATGTATTGGTGCTATCCTAGACTTGCACAAGTCTCTAAGGTAAAACAATATTAATAGATAACAGACAGGGGTCCGTACAGTGCCCTCCTATCTAGACTTGCCTCTTCCAAGGATGAAATTGCTATACATCCATGGGGTCAGGATTCAGTACAGCCTTGGAGCAAGGCTGGAGCTACTCGTCAAGCGTTATACATTACGTATACTACTGAAACGAAGTTAAACACCACCCTCCTCTTTTATATTACAAGAGTTAATCTGTTATCCCCTGACAAGAGTGGTATAATACAGACTGTCACCTGACTTTCAAATTTGCTGAGGGACCAGTACATATATCCAATGTCATACCATCCACATAGTACATGTATATCCAGGCTACATGGCACTAAAGGAGCATCTGTCTCATTTGCAGGGCTGAACAGAATAGCATTGGACAGATCCAGACGAGGTGATATGTAAAATATACACGGATAGATAGTACCGATTGCTTCCAGGGGATGTAAGTCGAGCATGCATTGACATTTCCCATCGCCCATTACACGCAACTACAGTCAGCACCGTTGTGTTGAAGGGACGTACGTAAATAGTTCGAGTTATCCGATGTTCGACACAACCGTAAAATGACTAAATAAGGTATACGCAGGGACCAACCCTTTACTTCGACACAACCAGAAGTTCGAAACAACAGAGTTCCACACAACGGTGTATGGCTGTATCATCAGTGTCCAGTCAAAGTAAACTCAGTAAACGAAAATCCGCATAAAACACAGATATTTGACCTGCAGCATATACGCTTATGGGTTTCTAATGTCATGGTTACTATTATCGCAAGATGACATCCTTGAGTATTGAAAAAAAAAGATATTTTCAGCGACTGTTTACTCATTGCGTGTATCACTCGGAAGCGATCGTGCGGAAAATAGCATTCGGAATCGTTCGAGTTTTTGAGGTAAAGATTCAAACAGTATGTGCGGATGTTAACTTTCGCGATTTGGTAAACTGTGTTGTGACTGACTGAAGGTTAGCTGACGCGACCTTCTACTAGGTTTTGTTAGACTCAGTATAGCAGTGTAACGAATAATACTGAGCCTAAGTTTACTTAGACTGCACCAGTGTCACCAGTATACTGAACATATGTTTAGATACGACGGGCTGCCCTCGTACACATTAACATACACATTTACAAACATCTGCCTCTTTTTCTACACCCGATGACTTAATGTATCATGCTACCCAGATAGTGGCAGATATTGTCGTATTGTCCTCAGTCTGCAGCAAACAGATGACATCAGCAGTTGCCTACTCTATTCCGTGTAGATACCGTAAGCGGAAGCTGTACAGAACAGGGTCTTGTTCGTGAAGGTGTAGGTGGCGAAGCTGTCCACCTTGGGGTCCCAGGCGCACCTGCTGGTGACCATGACGTCCTGGTCCTTCCTCTCCCCGAGCATGACCACCACCACCAGCTTGTACCGGTCCCAGCTCATCTGCTTCATGCGGTCCTTGATCTCGTCAGTCAGCACCTGGAGGTGATACGTATATGTATTATATAGCAGATTACACATGATACGTATACGTGTACAGATATGAGGATACGTATAGTGTAGCAGATCACACATAAAGCACCTGATGAGGATAGGTATAGTGTATTATATAGAGAGGATACGTATAGTGTATTATATAGCAGATCACACCTGAGGAGGTGTATTATATAGCAGATATAGTGTACTATAGAGCAGATCACACCACCTGGAGGTGATACGTATAGTGTACTATAGAGCAGATCACACCAGTATATCACATCTGGATACGTATAGTGTATTATATAGCAGATCACACACCTGATGATACGATAGTGTGATACGTGATAGTGTACTATAGAGCAGTTCACAACCATCTGGAGGTGATACGTATAGTGTACTATAGAGCAGATCACACCTGGAGGTGATACGTATATAGTGTACTATAGAGCAGGAGGTGATACGTATAGTGTATTATAGAGCAGATCACACATCTGGAGGTGATACGGTGATACGTAATTATAGTGTAGATATACCTGAGCAGTTCACACATAGAGCAGTTCACACCTGGGAGGTGATACGTATAGTGTACTTAGTGTATAGAGCAGTTCACACCATCTGGAGGTGATACGTATAGTGTACTATAGAGCAGATCACACCATCTGGAGGTGATACGTATAGTGTACTATAGAGCAGATCACACCATCTGGAGGTGATACGTATAGTGTACTATAGAGCAGATCACACCATCTGGAGGTGATACGTATAGTGTACTATAGAGCAGTTCATATAGAGCACCATCTGGAGGTGATACGTATAGTGTACTATAGAGCAGATCACACCTGGAGGTGATACGTATAGTGTACTATAGAGCAGATCACACCTGGAGGTGATACGTATAGTGTACTATAGAGCAGTTCACACCATCCGGAGGTGATACGTATAGTGTACTATAGAGCCGATCAGAAGGCCACTAATATTTATTCGACCAGAGGTTGTAGCAGGTAGCCTGCCTTTGCCATATAGGATAGGTTGTTAAATTCAAATCCTAAATTGTCACAGATTAGGATCTCTATTTCTCTGCATCATAAGTATGAAAAAATCTGTTTTTTTAGATAGACAATCTGTTCAAGATAGACTTTACCAATAATGCATGAATGTTACCCTAAGTCTTTTATCGTTGCTCATGATATCGTCCACTGCTTTAATTAGCTTCGTCCTGAATATCTACAAACTGGAATATTGTTTAACATCGCCTTAACATTCACACAAACGATTTCCAGTATGAACCTGGCATGTCATGATTGAGCAGCAAAATACCAAGGCACAGACCCCATTGTTCCCGTGATAACAGTGGTGCTTAGCTACAGCGTAACACAAAAAGCACATGCTTAAGCTTTGAAACTGAATTATTTTTTTTTGTGATTCAAGATGCTCAAAAAATAACTTTGAATTTGTTTTCATGTTTTCTGGGTGGTTTCTGGTATAGTACCGTGGCACCCGAACGCAACTTGCTTCGCGGATCATCTAAGGACAAAACATGTTGTGTCTACACTATGCAATAGATTATGTCTGGAAACTGGCTGACACTTGAACATTCCGAAATCGTTTGTTCTGTAGGAGACATAGTTGATCTATTCTTTGAAATTGTTTCGTCTTTTAAGTATTGTATCTTTAGTCATGTGAAGAAATGAATAAGGAATCTGCAAAATGTTCATCTACAATTGATTGTTACTTCGTTAAACGACCCAAATCGACTGAATTTTACTTGACAATAGTACCCAGTGTTCTCAAACACATTCTGATACAATAACATTATCTGAGTCGGGTACTGATTCCTCGCCTGAAAATAACATGCACGACCATACAGAAAGTAGCCTGTTAGTAATATTCACTGTGGAAAACCTAGCCTGTTTCCACAAAACCATAAGGTGCAGAAATACAGTGATGTGAAGAACATGTGCGTTGATCAAAATGGGCCCACGTTATCGTCTTTTGGGAATGCCTTGTTACTCCAAAAATATAGGGATCTTCTGTTGTTCTTCAACAAACATGAGAATACTCAATGTGTATTTTGCAAAGACTCGGTAATCATGTGTTAACCAAAACAAAAACTACATTATGAAAGAGCAATTAACAAAAAAAACCTATCATTCTCACCTGAGTCATAGTCACGCAGAACTTGGGGTTGTAACTGAACCCGTTCAACCTCTCATCCAGAATCTCCTTCAACATACTGTGGACAGTGAACACGGTGAACTTGACCTTGGGCTCCATTCTGTACGTGGGCTCATAGTTAACCTGGGCTTGGCTGGGGGAACCTTCCGTTTTCCCCATCTTCTTGAACTTCCTCGCGGCCAAAAACCCAGCAACTCCTCCAGCCACGCTGCTGCGTCTGTGATTGGGGAGGATGGGGAACAGACTCTTCCTTCTGTCATCCCCGGGGTGGGGACTGGGTATCCCCGGCAGTTCATTACGTAAGATGGATTGTCTGCGCGCCATTTTGAATCTGTCTTCTCGATTTCACTGTCGGGCACAATCGTATGATGAAGAAGACAATGTCAAGGTTGAATTGTTCGGGTCTCTACTACTCTTCCAGGACGTTTTCAAAATTGTGGTGTAAGATCTGTCCTTACAGAGGTCTATTGACAGTTCTTTTTCCTCAAATATGTCGTTATCCTCGATAAAACCTCTGCTACTGTCAAAATTTAAACCAATCAGTCTTCAACATTCCGTGGAAGATATAGATGACACACAAGAAGCGTTAAAGAGTCATATTTCACCTTCAGATATTCCGCAACTGCAACAGCTTCTTTTCAAATATGAATCCAATGCACAGACTGAATCCAATTCACAGAACGCTATCTCAACCTCTGGTGTCCCTTCTTCAAACTTTAAATCTCCTAAACACACCAACAGCCTCACACAAATGAAGGTTCGTCAACAGCTTCTGAACTAAAGTGAACCTCAGACATGCTATAATCATAACTGCAGTTAAGGAACGGGCGACCAGTCCACATTGAAATCTGCCTATTGTTGTCAAACGGTCTAACTATTGTCTACCAGCAAATCGGTTTAAATTCTTGGCTCTGCTTATGGTAGATTTCGACGAAAGGTTTTAGGTTCCATAACACAGTAAGCGGATATACCGAATCACGCATGCAGTAAAGGTCCTAGTAACTAAGCTATTGTTTGGCGGCTGATCTGTCTAGTCGGACGGACAAAGAGTTAGTCACCCTTGTACATAGGGACCTAAATTACATAACTGATGGCATAAAGGCACTGGATGGCTGAAGATGTCGGCAACGTTTCAAACCTTGATTGTTGTATAACTGCGTGTATGTTAGTGGTAAAAATCTGTGATAACAGTATTGAATGGTTATCAATACTGTTCTTGCGTGCACTGATTGCGTGCGATACGATTGTTCAGATTTAAAGTATTGATATGGATATTTGAGCTTAATAGCATGTGACCTAGCGGAACGTACAATTCTTGGTTCAAATAATGTAAATCTTATTCCTGAATTGTCTTATTTCTGTGATTGCAGTTTCCACTGTATCCGACTCTGAGTGTAATTTTAAGCGGGCATTCTAACTAAGATAAGATCTATTTTTATATCCCCATGGCACGCATTTCAGTAAGACCTACACCGACCCCTGGATCAGTTCCCATTGTTCTGGCAATCGCAGGTACCCTCCCTAAAATTTCCATAACATTTTACTGACCAGTCAAAATGTGAGATAAGGAAAAAGGGAAATGGGTAAGGGAGGTAACTCGTATAGCCTAGAAACCAAAGTCACCAAAGTTATAATAGACATGACGATATCAGATTTTAAAAGATTTGTGAGCGCTTTTTTTCTCTTTACTAGTCAGTTTTCAATGTTGAATTTCTCTCAAGCTCTCTTAATAGGTTTCAAAATCTTTCTTATCCCCAACCATATCAATGAGGATCAATACTTGACAACCCGTGAAGATCCGGGTTAGAATTTTAGGGCCAGTTCGATTATTGCGAAACTGGTTTCTCCTGTCATAAACGAGTGTCTAGTTTCGGATATATGGTTTCAAAGTGAAACTAGTTTCTAGTTTTATAAATGAGTGGATGGTTTCACCATCCGGTTTCAAAATCGATACAAACTAAATGTCTCAGCTATTATATACTAAGCAGCAACAGAAACGTCAGTTTGGAATTTTCCTTCGCAGAAACGGATAACTGTAAACTCATTTAATGTTTTGATTGTATATTTTTGACAACATCTCCAACTTAACCTGAGCAAAGACATTCCTTCCCAAACTCAGAATGGAACCCAGGAATTGGTCTCAAAAACGCAACCTGATCTCGGAGATGGTACGGTGTTCTCCATGTTTTTCATGCAACTCATGCTGCACGTGCTGTTCACAAGTACCAGCCCTATAAAATACACCCCCAAACCTGGTTGAAACATTCACATTACAACGTCAGCAGGATGCCCCTTCTCACGACAGCTCAGAGGAACCAGGCGCTAGGAAGACTTGAAGCTGGCCACACTGCACAAGCCGTTCCCAATCACTTCCAGGTCAACGTTCGGACCATCTACAGGCTGCAGCAACGTTTCCGGGCCACCAACACCACAAATGATCGCCCCCGTACTGGCAGACCAAGGGTGACCAAACGACGACAAGAACGCCATGTTGTGCGACAGCATGTACAGAATCCCTTCATGCAGGCATCCGAAACAGCACGCCAGACAGTGGGAACACACGGAAGACTAATCAGTACTGATACAGTACGCCGACGTCTTAACAGCAGGGACCTCCATTGCCTTAGACCTTATACCGGGGACCTATCCTCACCCCTCGTCATCGGCGTGAACGTCTACTGTTTGCCCTACAACACCAAAACTGGCGATACAGGCAATGGAGAACTGTTCTGTTCACAGATGAGAGTCGGTACTGCGTATCAACTGCAGATGGCAGAACAAGAATATGGCGACGATGTGGCCAGCGTTACTCAGACCAATGAGTTATGGAAAGAGACTCATAGGGTGGTGCAAGTATCATGGTATGGGGTGGAATAGGCCTGAACCAGTGAGTGGGTCGTGTGGTGTTCTGGAACCTTGGTCCAGAGAGAGGAGGCGGCATCACAGTGGTGCGTTACATCGACCAAGCTCTCAGACCCCACGTCATACCACATTTCATAAGTCACCGTAACAACATTTTCCAGCATGATAACGCCCGGGCCCATACTGCCAGAGCTACACGGGACTTCCTACAGGAGAACGGTGTCAACATTATGCAATGGTCAGCCCTTAGTCCTGATTTAAGGAGTCTGAATGAACTGCAAACGTTCACGTAATGTCTTGAAATTGTGCTGAGTTATTTATTGATGTGTCAAGATATTGTACACACAAAAATGTTTTTTGATCCGCTTATTATGTCCATTTCTGTAATGATTTGATGACAGTGCCTCTCTTATTTATAATTCGTACTGACCTTTTTTTTTGCTGCTGAGTATATATGAGGAACGAATTGAATGACAGCATTGCCAAAGGTAATATTTTTTGGTCATTTTATTAGGGAATTAACAAATATTCTACCATGGCTACGTGAAATGCTCGAATTTGATTGGTCAAGCCACAAAATCAGACGGTATCAATTTGGATTGAAAATGCGTCTGATTTCACGGCGCTTCACTGCGCACGTATACAACCCTGCCGCACTACTTCAGCTTGGCCACCAACATGACTAACATCAACACAACAGACGTGATGGAAATACTGATGAAACATTTATTAAAACTCGAAAAAATACAATTATACGATTTCTCCACCACAATTATTAGGGGACCTCACTATCATAATTATTACCTTCTATTATAAAAATATTCAAACTCAATTACAATACACAGCCCCACACATAAACAAACAATATCTAACATATAAATCAGAAAACCTTGTAACAATACATCCCTATCTATCCCTATTTGTGCGGCAAAACGTTTGAAGGTAAATGGTATATTTGTTTCCCTTTAGAATGGGAAATTCGCAAGATAACGGTCAGGCGAAACACAAAATTTGCCACTCATACTCCATCATGTCCCGTTGCATCGTTCAAAATGTCAAAAACGTAACCATGAGAATTTAGTTCTCTTCAACCTTCCCCGAAGGCTGTCACTGCAGCTATGTTCGTACACTTTGAAAAGCTTGGCCACAATCCAGTCCCAAATGACGAGAACAATGTTCCAAGGAATCCCAAGTTAGTCGAAGGTACACAAAGCAGCAGTTCTGTCACTCTTCCTCGCATGCCGGGGTGGCGGCACGTACGTGAAATCATGATCGACGCTCGCCGGCCCGGTCATAAAAATTAACAGTCTTTGATGACTTACAGGTCATAGGTCGATCAGAAAAGGATCTATTCTTCGATTCTGCAGGGTTCAGGTTCGACAGTCAGTCAAGTATTTTCCACTGTCACTTCGAATTTCAACCTTTCGCAAAATGTAAACACTGGCTCGTCCGCCATTTCAAACTGTTGCGTAACTGTCTACTCCCAAGAAAATAAGTAGGTCAGACGATTCCATTATAGTGTGGACAGGGGGGTACAGTAACACGGCACACAAAACAATAGGCTGGTTTCGGTCTTGTGGGGTTATGATTATAAAAACCAAGCTCTTATGTGTTACATTATTGCATTGAATACACAGTAGTATGTTTTCTTTGGACAGAATATTTTTTATGTTGCAATGTTAACAAAAATACGAAAGGAACCTACCACTCCTTTATCAGACGAGTTCAATTCGCCTCTCATCCCATGCCGAATTACGCAGTGTCTTCCGCAGGACGAGGAAGTTCGATTTTAAATCAGTTATGGTAGAATGGAGATAAACGTACTGTGTTTGGAAATTAGATGAATCTTAGACCGAATTGATAGTCTCTAAATTAATCATTTGAAACCTCACGCTACGCGTTCGGCTTCAAATGAGTACGTTTATCTCCTAAATAAAGAGATGAGATGCTTTTGGAAGTAAATATATTTAATTATACTGTTACAAGTAATTATATGTATACAAGTTACATAAAATAGTCATGTTCAATAGACTGGGGATTTAAATAATATTTTCCTAGTTCTCAGTTGATTTTTATCATTATTTTGGTTACAGAAACTGCTGCTCTATTTTGCCACCAAGATCTTTTCCGCCATGTTTGTTGTGAGAGAACGCGAAACCGAAACTGCGAATCCTGCCTCGGAGATGGTTTCGAAGTTTTAGAACCCAGTTTTAGGTTTCGACATAAACGAGTGCATGGTTTTCCAGAAACCAAAACCGGTTTAGCATAATCGAATAGGCCCTTAGTCTTCAGTAACCCATGCTTATCGTAAGAGGCGACTAACGGGATCGGGTAGTCATGCTCGCTGACTTGGTTGACACATGTCATCGTTTCCCAATTAAGTAGAACGATGCTCATGCTGTTGAACACTGGATTGTCTGGCCCAGACTCGTTTATTTACAGACCACCGGCATTTATCTGGAATTTTGTTGAGAACGGCGTTAAACAACCAACCAACCAATGATTACTTGACACCTACAACCATTTACTTTTATTTGTCATGCAGTCCACTTGAAGTAGAGCATGTCCAACAATCGCTATAGGAAACTCCAGCGATCCAACAATCGCTATGGGAAACTCCAGCAATCCGACAATCGCTATGGGAAGCTCCAGCGATCCAACAATCGCTATGGGAAACTCCAGCGATCCAACAATCGCTATGGGAAACTCCAGCGATCCAACAATCGCTATGGGAAGCTCCAGCGATCCATCAATCGCTATGGGAAACTCCAGCGATCCGACAATCGCTATGGGAAACTCCAGCGATCCGACAATCGCTATGGGAAACTCCAGCGATCCAACAATCGCTATGGGAAACTCCAGCGATCCAACAATCGCTATGGGAAACTCCAGCGATCCGACAATCGCTATGGTAAACTCCAGCGATCCAACAATCGCTATGGGAAACTCCAGCGATCCGACAATCGCTATAGGAAACTCCAGGCACAGTTATGATAAACACAACTAGATGGTTATCGGTAATAGACGAATATTGTTCTCAAATACAGGTTAATGACAAAACATATGGGGATCTTTAAGGCATCGTTGAAGTTATGTTATTTAGGAGTCGAAAAATATGGTGGAATTCCACCAAAGCTTAGACTAGCAGTTGTGGAACCCTGGGTCATTTCCCTGCTGTGTAACCCAGATTGATAACACAGATAAATACCAGACCTTGAACGTGACCTAGACAAAACCTTGGAAAGCATTTTTTTAATTCGTGAGCGCTGGAATAGCTCGAGACATGGCTTCATTGAAGGTACGTTCGCAGAGAGATAGAAATCAAACTTTTATTTACAGCTTGTTGTGTTATATGTATGGTGCGATTTATCTACACAAACTGTAAACACTTACAGCAGTGATATGTAGTAGATATTGCACGATGTGTGAAGGCCACTCTCTAGTGCACACATTGTTCGTGTCTGACAGCCTAAGACTATTCCCTGTACATCGAAAAACTTGGATATTTACTCATTAATTACTGATTTCACATTTTGTGTCTTCTGTTGAAATAACAGTCGGATTTTTGATTACGAAATGTTCACATTATGAAATGGGTTTGAAGCCGAAAAAACTAGAACTGAATCAGTGCGCATCTTAGATTCGAACCCATAGGCGGATCCAGGAATTTTTAGGGGGTGGGGTGTGTGTGTGTGTGTGTGTCAGGGGGTTCAGCTCCGCCAGTGCAAAACATTAACTGTGGTCTTATGTGGTCTTAAGTCATTTTCAAAAGGGGGAGTCGAAACACACCCACTCATCCCCCCAACCCCAACCCCTAACCCCCGGATCCGGCAATGGAACCAACGATCATACGTTTCCAGAACACCAACGGGGGGCAACTCTGCACAGTGAACATACTCCGAACACTCTTCAAACACATGTTGGTCGAACCGGAAGTGACCCTTTTCAATTTATCTCTGCAGTATACTACCAGCATATAAATCTTTCTACATGATGTTCTGAAACGATTTCATTCAAATAATATACTATATTCTTTCCTTTTGCAGAATTTGGCCCTGGTCCTCTCTATAGTTCAGCTAACCTGTGCGATCGGTATGTTTGAATGAGTTGTGCCGTGGAGGTTAAAGTAATCTCTCATTGTACCAACTATTACTATTAAACAAGCTAATTCAAGCGGATACACCTCCTGGAAACATGATGGGAAGGGGTACATTACACGATAACAAAACTTTGTCAACCAATAATTAGTCTTTTACCTTTTTGATTGTTTGTTTGTTTTGGTTTTGTTTTGTTTTTTCAGTCACCATAAATATTATTCCTGAAAAAAGAGGGAGATTGGATGATCGAAAGCCTAATATTAAAATCCGGGAGTTACCTTAGCGTTTAGGTCCGTTTTTACAAGGGCCCCCTGCCCCCTTCATCCACGAGAGGGGTGGTGGGGTAGCCTTGTGGTTAAAGCGTTCGCTCGCCCAGGTTCGATTCCCCACATTGGCACAATGTGTGAAGCCCATTTCTGGTGTTCCTAGCCGTGATGTTGCTGGAATATTGCTGACAGCGGCGTAAAACTAAAGTCACTCACTCACTCATCCACCAGATCTACATACTCGCAAATAAAAACAACAACACCATCCTCAACTTCTCATGATACAAATTATACTTACTAAACGTGTACACGACATTTTATCAGTAGAACAAAGGACTGACTGACTGACTGAGTGTGGTTTTACGCCGCTTTTAGCAATATTCCAGCAACATCACGGCGGGGGACACCATAAATGGGCTTCATACATTGTACCCATGTGGGGATTCGAACCCGGGTCTTCGGCGTGACGAGCCAACGCTTTAACCACTAGGCTACCCCACCGCCCCTAGAACAAAGGAACTGGTAAATGTAAAATGCCAAGTATCAGTCAATGCATTGTCTTTGTACAATGCTTCTCAACGTTTAGCTGTGATCTGGAGGCGCACTTCCTCCTGTGAAACTGATCTTCCACAGAGTTCTTAACACTCGACCATCTTCGGAGTCGAACTTCGCCAGATGTCCAGGCCACGGCGGCCACTGACCTCATCAGGAGGATCGTGGGGGACAGATCCTCAGACTTCGACATCAACGTCGACCCCACCAGTGGCCCCGCAGACAGGGACACCTTTACAGTGAGTTTACATTTCATGTGTTTGAAGGGAATACAACAACGCCGTGCTACTGTGTCAATGGTGGAAGGGTGAGTTTGATGCCGCAACAGTTATTCAGTTTGACAGAGCTGTTTAGTATCGAACGAGGGACCACATTGTGCAAAATCGCAAGCCTGACTCTGAGAAGAATGAACATAGGTTTGAAGCTTACTACATCAGGGGGTTAATGCGCTACATCCCAATATCAAATTTTCAAGATTAGACTCATAGTGACGAAAAACATTATTTACCAAAGCCTGTTCGTCTCCCCGCGCCGCCATCTTTGACGATTTGTATGCCGTTTCGGGATGTTATGACTGCCGTTTTGTACGCTTACGACCGTTCAGTTTTGAGGATTTGTTCACCGTCTGTATGGTGGGCCTGAATTGACTTGTATTTGCATGTGTTTTGACATGGTGGCAAGTGGAATATCGGCAAACATCTTTTCTGTATGTAATAGCCTATCATGGTCAGAGTCACCTATAGTCCCAAACCCCGGTACCCGCTTGTACCAATCTTCCCGTGTAATTTAAGGCGGAAAATTGCCTTGCCTTGTGGCAAATGGAACATCGGCAAATCCCGCCTCTTTTCCTACTAAACAATGGCCCATCGCGTTCAGAGTGACTAATTAATAGTCCTTTTGTTTCAGCTGGTACAGTCGGGGCAGAAGCTGTCCATCACAGGGACCAGTGGTGTGGCGGTTGCCATGGGATTCTACTATTACATCAAGTACTACTGTGGGGGTCAGTTCACCTGGGCGGGGCAACAGATCGCCCTGCCAGCAGAATTACCTAAAGTGTCCGCGGTTACTATAACCTCCAATGACAGGTGCGTGGAAGCCCGATAGACTTACCACAGATAGGCGACATAGGCTGATAGGCCAGACTAATGTCTATTATGTATTGCAGGTATTCAAGATAAGGCTATTCAAGCGGTTTGGATAATGAAATACAGATATGAAAACCAAACTGCCCAAGCGATGCTACTTTGAAAATCCGGTTTAGAATTGGTCTAAGGCAACCCATGCTTGTCTTAAGAGTTAAGACACTTTTAACCGAATCGGGTGGTCAGTCTTGATGACCGTGTCATGTCACCGTATCCCGATTGGACAGATCATTGCCCATGATGTCCGTCATTGGATTATCTGATCCACTCTCAAGCATTTATGGCTCTAACATATAAACGTTGTATTTGGTATTACGTGTTCTAAGTAAAGTACAGATTCTAATACTTTTGTTAAGTCCCATCCGGGATTCGAACCCACACCCTCAGAGTCAGGCACCTAATCGCCAGCACACAAATCGCCTAACCCGCTCAGCCACCAGATGGGACTCAACCCAACAGACGTACTAGAATATGTACTTTACTAAGAAAGTGTAATCCCAAATATAACATATGCTACATTTGGCCACTGTTTAAATTGCATTGTGTGTTCATTTATGGATCTATTTAAGCAGCAAACACACAATTACCAAGCTAAACACACAAACCACGCACGTTATGCTGGCACCTCACCTCACCTCATCAATTTGCAGGTTCCGGTACTACCAGAATGTCTGCACTGTCAGTTACTCCTTCGCCTGGTGGGACTGGGACCAGTGGGAACGTCATATAGACTGGATGGCCTTGCAGGGAATCAACCTGCCTCTGGCCTTCACGGGACAGGAGGCCATCTTTCAGAGGGTAGGTAGACTGGATGGCCTTGCAGGGAATCAACCTGCCTCTGGCCTTCACGGGACAGGAGGCATCTTTCAGAGGGTAAGTAGACAGCAGGGCCTTGCAGGGAATCAACCTGCCTCTGGCCTTCACGGGACAGGAGGCCATCTTTCAGAGGGTAGGTAGACGGGGTGGCCTTGCAGGGAATCAACCTGCCATTGGCCTTCACGGGACAAGGAGGCCATCTTTCAGAGGGTAAGTTGACTGGATGGCCTTACAGGGTATCAACCTGCCATTGGCCTTCACGGGACAGGAGGCCATGTTTCAGAGGGTAAGTAGACGGGATGGCCTTACAGGGTATCAACCTGCCATTGGCCTTCACAGGACAGGAGGCCATGTTCCAGAAGGTATGTAGACAGCAGGGCCTTGTAAGCATCAACCTGCTATTGGCCTTCACAGGACAGGAGGCCATCTTCGAGAGGGTAAGTAGACTGGACGGCCTTGCAGGGAATCAACCTGCCATTGGCCTTCAGACAGGAGGCCATCTTCCAGAGGGTAAGTAGACTGGGTGGCCTTGCATTGAATCAACCTGCCATTATTCTTTACAGGACACAGGTAGTAGAACAGATGGCCTTCACAAAGCGTGTGTTGTTTAAGGGCTAAAGTTTAACTAGTGTGGGTAACAGCAGATGTATGTGGTGTATCTTAGCATTACGTTGTTGCAGAAAGTATAATGTATCTGAGATTGCTTTATCTACCATTGATCTTTAGGTCTATTTGTCAATGGGCTTCACGGTGCAAGATATGGAGGCTCATTTCGGCGGCCCAGCATTCTTAGCTTGGTATGAATATTTTTCCTTCATATGTAGATATATACATATCAGCATCGTCATCCCCGATACCCCTAAACTAAACTAAACTAAATATGTCACAGGATCTTTCCACCAGTGATGACACCCTAATAGGTTCAGAAGGTCCGAAGCCGATTATAAATAAAATCAAACAATTTGCTCACGACAAATATCATCCTCATCAAATAAAAAACATGTCGTATTTTTACACGTCAATATCTCATGACAAGGTCAAGGATGGGAAACATACGTGGCTTTGGCGGCCCTCTGCCTGAATATTGGATGGACAGACAGTTGGCTCTCCAGCACAAGATACTGGACCGGATGAGGTCACTTGGCATTATTCCAGTACTTCCGGGTTTTGCCGGACATGTGCCAGCCGCCATTACAAGGTAATCCTCGTGGTTTGCCAATACATTAATAGACTTTAAGTGAAAATTCTTTTATCAAATCACGTAAATATAATTATTTATTTTCTATGCTTTAGGGAAAAATCCAAACAATGCCTCATGAAAAGTTCAATGAAAACAAATTTAAACTTTATTTAAGTTTCAATATACAACCATGAATACATCTGTAAGATTGTGATTCTTAAGTTGCCCTTGCATGTTTATGCACGTACGTTATCTTACAACGTGTTTGTTTATTGTCGCGATAACAATATTTTGTAGGCATTCATTTATATATTGCCTTACGGTCGCCATTACAATGCCGTTGTTTTAATTAATTTCTTCATGTTTCATAAACACTTTTTTCAGAGTGTTCCCCAAAGCCAATGTGACTCGACTCGGGAGCTGGGCTAACTTCAATGCCAATTATTCAGAGTAAGTTTCTTCACGTCAATGTGGGTTCTCTCCCTACATATCTACTGACAAGGTCATCATTACTTAATCATCATATGACAGAAAAATAATCATTATATATAGTATAGCGTTGTATATGGTTGCAGGCAGATAATGTTTTTTGTATTTTTGGGGACAGCAGATGTGATAACAGCTGGTTTCTCGTCCTTATTTCTTTCAGAACCTACCTACTGGATTTCAATGACCCTCTGTTTACTACAATCGGTTCCAAGTTCATCAAGGCCGTATGTTTCACTTAAATTATGTTGGTTTCAATCTCGTTCAGTAGCATTCGTCACCACTCGCCCCTTTCCGTAACCTCCAAGAACACTCGCTATTCGGCTTATCCCGGAATAACACGAGTTGGTCACGGATGTTCAGAAGAGGTCCACATGTGACGTAGTTCGCGCTGTCTTTATGTTTGGGCCGTCGCTGTATAGGGCGGCTTTTCACCACCCTCCGTGGTTACGCCTGTGATCGCAGATGGGGTAGCCTAGTGGTTAAAGCGTCCGCTCGTCACGCCGAAGACCCGGGTTCGATTACCCGCATGGGTACAATGTGTGGAGCACATTTCTGGTGTCCCCCACCGTGATATTGCTGGAATGTTGCTAAAAGCGGCGTAAAACCATAGTCAGTCGGTCAGCTGAAGGTGCCTGGTTATGTTTCTATGTTTGTCGGCACAAGTGTTAAACGTCCTCTCCATCCACATTAAGCAGGCATAACTGGAATATGTTGAAAGCGGCGTTGCGCCAAACACACTCATTACCCGATTAGACCACATCGGTACTACCAGATATTGGCACGAACGGATTAGGGTATATTGGTGCCATCTTGTGGCTATGGTGCGCACCGTAACTAGGACGTGGTACCAGTATGTTTGCTTATTCACAGATGGAGGCCGAGTTTGGCATTGATCATATCTACAACGCAGATAGTTTCAACGAGATGACGCCAGCTTCGAGGTGAGTTTGTGTGCATGTGAGTGTTATAGGCCGGCTCTGTGATGTCATAGATATACCTCCTTCCTGGAGTAGTGCTGGGAATTGGTTAAATTCTCATAATTGATGATTGATTCATTACAACCGATCAATCATCGAAAATAATTGGTTAGCGTCGTTTATGAAATCTTCCTGATTATTTTTGTTAATGGACAAACAATTAAAGAAAAATACATGTAGTTCTTTGGTGTTTTTGCAAATTGCACAAAATGCATTTGCAAATTTCACATTTTTGAGGATAACTAGTAGGTTAGGAACATCATATTCTTGGAGTCTTTAAGATAAATTCAACCATGACTGTGAACGAGCTTGTAGTGGTCATGAAATGTAACAGACATTCATTCTGGAACACTTGTTTTCATTAACAATATTTTTCACATGGTTGGTTTGTCTGTTACATTTCGTAAGCACTGCAAGCTCGTTTCAAGTCATGATTAAATTTATCTTACAGATTCCAAGAAATTTATGTTCCCAACATACTAGTCAACCTTTAAAGATGTTAAAAAATTGCCAAAAAAACCCTTAAAGAACTACATGTTTTTTTCCTTATTTTTATGTGCATTAACAAATTTCATAAATGACACTAACCAATTATTTTCGATGATTGATCGGTAGTAATGAACCAATCATTAATTAGGAGATTTGAACCAATTCCCAACACTAGTGTATACCACTCACAAACAGGCGCAGTGTCATCTTATTGACGTCATTGTTTATGGTCAATTTAGATATACAAAAGGGAGGGTCAGTATTAAAACCAACTCTACCCCTCAAAAGAAGTAAGATAACACACACTTGTTTCATATCACATTCATGACTGTAATGGAACCTTGGACAGGACCATAAATCGGGTGGTCCTTAAATTATTTTGAGTGATATATGTAGGACTGGAGTGTGTTGGTTTCAGCGACCCAGCGTACTTGGCCTCGGCGGCACGAGGGGTGTATAACGCCATGGTTGCTGGAGATTCACAGGCTATTTGGTGAGGACAGTCGTAGTTCCATAACAACTTTCATCCTGTACACCAGTCGTCGTTCTTGTGTTTGTTAAAATAATTTTCGTTTGTTTGTTTTAATTACATTATTTATTCTCATGTCATAATTAATTATTGATGATATATAACGCTTAAGTATCTCCAAGTGCTGAAGGTGTATATACACTGCGCATCATCATAGCTAGTACGTAGGGCTAAGACCGGCTTAGTACGCTGCAGTAGATTAGCCTTCCACTGTTATACCAACAGGTTGATGCAGGGCTGGCTGTTTGTGTTCGGAACTTTCTGGAAGGATCCTCAAATCAAGGCCCTTCTTACCGCTGTGCCAAAGGTTATTAACACTAAATATTATATTACTGTCCAGTCGAGAGGAGGAGAGACATTCGCCATTGTTTCTTGAGAAAGTACACGCGAAGGAAGTTTCGTCAGTGAGTGAGTTTAGTTTTACGCCGCACTCAACTATTGTTGGACATGCTCTACTTCAAGTGGACTGCATGACAAATAAAAGTAAATGGTTGTAGGTATCAAGTAATCATTGGTTGGTTGGTTGTTAAACGCCGTTCTGAACAAAATTCCAGCTAAATCTCGGCTGTCTGGAAATAATCAAGTCTGGGCCAGACAATCCAGTGATCAACAGCATGAGCATCTATCTACTCAATTAAGAATCGATGATCTTACCGAGCTAACCCGGATCTTCACGGGTATTTTCGTCAGTACAGTACAAGATGATATTCCTAATTACCTATGATTACATAGAAACCAATTCTCACAATGATACCAAGTATTTCAATGAATGTTACGTTTGTAATAAGAAGCGACACAAATGTGGATTGTATGGTCACAATGGACTATGGTTATTTGTTACGTTTGGTTTCCGTCGCTATCCACTCACTTCAAAATAGAAAATCAATCAATCGACAGGGCAAGATGATTATCCTGGATCTGTACTCCGAGCAGACCCCAATCTTCCCCCGCACCCACTCCTACTACGGTCAACCATTCATCTGGTGCATGATGCATAATTCTGGCGGACATAACGACATGTACGGCGAGCTGGACAAGATCAACCAGGTAACTCTGTAGCATCTGTTTGATTCTAGATCCGCATAGTAGCTCCAACAGTTAACGGCATCAATAAATAGTCTGTAATGAGACTTTTAGAGATTTTACTCGCGCTTTCGGTGGAACCGACTTAACACGGTCCAATGACCAATACTGAAGGTGACGACATATTAAGCAACGGCGTACACGGATTTGCGGATGAGTGAGTGAGTTTGGTGTTACGCCGCTGTTAGCAATTTGCCCGCAATATCACGGCGGGGGACACCAGAAATGGACTTCACAAATTGTACCCATGTGGGGAATCGTACCCGGTGACGAGCGAATGCTTTAACCACTAGGTTGCCCCTCCGCCCAATTTGCGGATGAGCTGGGTCACATACACATTTTACCCCTTAAGGGTTTGAGAAAAGGTCCTCAGGGTCTTAGTGGCTGTCGGTGCATTGGGGTAGCCTAATGGTTAGAGTCCAAGGTTCGACTTCCCATATGGGTACAATGCCTGGAATCCATTGTCACATTTCGTATACTCCCTGCTTTTAAAATTGTTTGTAAATTTATAATACACCAAATCTATAACCTAAACCTTGTTCAAAACATAACATAAACCCGGTTTGTGAATGAGTGAGTGAGTGAGTTTAGTTTTACGCCGCACTCAGCAATATTCCAGCTATATGGCGGCTGGTCGGTGAATGAGTGAGTGGGTTTATTTTTACGCCGCACTCAGCAATATTCCAGCAATATGGCGGCTGGTCAGTGAATGAGTCAGTGAGTTTATTTTTACGCCGCACTCAGCAATATTCCATCTATATGACGGCTGGTCAGTGAATGAAAACAAAGTGTCACTGCTCATCCTCAAGATCGCCAATATCTTTAAGCTAGAGTTTAACGTTGCAGGGTCCATCAGCTGGCCGGTCCTTCCCTAACAGCACCATGGTGGGCACAGGTCTCACCCCAGAGGGCATCAACCAGAACGAGGTCATGTACGAGTTTATGAATGAACAGGGGTGGAGGCCAGGACCTGTCAACACAACCGAGTGGTGAGATGTTCGAAGACTGATTAGAATTGTGCGTTGATCGGAACAGCTTAAACATATGCACACATACTTGCAAAATGTGTCTTTCTTTTGTCGTTTAACATAAATATTCATGTAAAGTCAGTCCTGAAATCAATTTCATAGCAATCTGGCCTGTCTGGTCAAGGATAGCCGACCTGTTTGAATCATTAGACAACAGTTACTGCAGAATTTCTATTTTTGTCAGGGGCGGTGGGGCAGCCTAGTGGTTAAAGCGTTAGCTCGTCACGCCGAACACCCGGGTTCGATTTCCCACATGGGTACAATGTGTGAAGCCCATTTCTGGTGTCCCCCGCCGTGATATTGCTGGAATATTGCTAAAAGCGGCGTAAAACTAAACTGTCTCTCTCTCTATTTTTGTCAAACACATATAGCTGGAGTACTGTAGACATCAGCGTTTCATAACAAACCTGTGATCTGAACAACGTAATGCTATTTATACTACCTCGTGTTTTAACATGTTTCCAGGATAGATCAGTATCAAGCACAGCGATACGGGGGAGGCAACACGAACACTTCCGCCGCCTGGGGTTATCTCAGGGTAGGTGTCGTGTTAGAATACCACTGTGAAGAATCCATGACAAAATAAGTTCCCTGAAATACCTCATGTTTATCTGACGTGCATGAGTGCTAACTCAGAGCTCAGATAGCTACTTCAGCTTAGAGTGAGTGAGGTGGGATTACTACTTTGGCCAGTATTCGAGTTTTACCACAGTGTGTCAGCTAAAGGGACGAAATCTCGAAATATACCCGAGGTCTCTCACACAGTTATTGGGGCGGTGGGGCAGCCTGGTGGTTAAATCGTCCGCTCGTCACGCCGAAGACCCGTGTTCCAATCCCCACATGAGTACAATGTGTGAAGCCTATTTGTGGTGTCCCCCGCTGTGATATTGCTGGAATATTGCTAAAAGCGACGTGAAACCATACTCACTCACACAGTTACCACTTTTTAGAAAGCCAAAATCACGACTGTAGTGCTGACAAACTTTGAAACAAAATGAGCAAATCTGGAAGCGAACAGACAGCCATCGATTTCCGGCATGGGTACGCAACTCTGCGGCGCCTCGAGTGGGCTACCTATGCCCCAGCTTACTATGAACATGCGAGCAACTACGATTTAAGGCTGTGTTGAGCAATATTCAAACCTGATAACCACTAAACATAAGAAGCATTTGACTGTGAGCATCTTATTAAACAATTCCTTCTGTTTTCCTTTAGCAAAGCGTCTACTCGTCGGGGCCTTCTGGTGTCACCATCATTCACCGGCCGTCTATAGGCAGCCACGAAACGGTGAGAACATGCAGCCAGGCTCGGAACATATGTTTGTTGTTATACTATATCTGCACTATCCACGTATCTTTACTATCCACGCATCTCCACTATCCACGTATCTGCACTATCCACGTATCTTCACTATCCATGTAGCTGCACTATCAACGTATCTGCACTATCCATGTATCTCCACTATCCATGCAACTGCACTATCCACGTATCTGCACTATCCATGTATCTCCACTATCTGCACTATCCACGTATCTCCCCTATCCATGTATCTCCACTATCCACGCATCTCCATTATCCTTCGTATCTTCACTATTCCCGTATTTCCATTATCCACGTATCTTCACTATCCACGTATCTCCACTTTCCACGTATCTCCACCTTCCACGTATCTCCACTATCCACGTATCTGCACGATCCGAGCATCTCCACTATCCACGTACCTGCACTATCCACGTATCTCCACTATCAACGTATCTCAACTTTCCACGTATCTCCACTATCCATGTATCTGCACTATCCACGTATCTCCACTTTCCACGTATCTCCACTATCCATGCAACTGCACTATCCACGCATCTCCATTATCCTTCGTATCTTCACTATTCCCGTATTTCCATTATCCACGTATCTTCACTATCCACGTATCTCCACTTTCCACGTATCTCCACCTTCCACGTATCTCCACTATCCACGTATCTGCACTATCCGAGCATCTCCACTATTCCCGTATCTCCATTATCCACGTATCTCCACTATCCATGAACCTGCACTATCCACTTATCTCCACTATCCACATATCTGTACTATCCAGGCATCTCCACTATCATTGTACCTGCACTATCCACGCATCTCCACTGTCCACGTATCTCCACTATCCTTGCATCTGCACTAACCGCGCATGTCCACTATCCACGTATCTTCACTATCCATGCATCTGCACTATCCACGTATCTCCGCTATCCTTCGTATCTTCACTCTTCACTATTCCCGTATCTCCACTATCCACGTATCTTCCCTAGCCAGGTATCTTTACTATTCCCGTATCTCCACTATCCACGTTGTCCACACTAGCCAAGTATCTTTACTATCATAACGAAACCGCAAACTTCGTTAAACATCGTTCCTCTACTGACCTGAAATGTTTAGGTTCAAAGGGGACCTTCTCCCATTAAGGTTAATGTTAAACGTTGGGGTATATTTTCTTCTATGTTTTGATTATTTATATGTTTCAGTCAAATAAAAACAAAATTCGCATTATATATCGATTGTATATTTACATATATGACATACCTGATTGTCCCTGGCAAAAGTGGAGTAGTATAAATCCTTCATTGTTGACGCCGTGTAGATGGGCTACGATCCCGAGATGTTGTACAAGGCGTGGGACAATATGGTGGCCGCCACGTTTACAACGCCGGCGCTCCATGCACAAACTCTGTTCAGGTGAGTGTCATCCGAAGGTGCGGGTAAGAGTTAGAAGAAGATCCCTGCAACGCATGCTGATGGTAAAAGCGACTAAATGGTTCGGGAGCACTTTGGAGGCTTGTTTGAAGCGTACTACGGTGAGAATCGTTGCTGATGATCACTGGATTGTCGTGTCCAGGCTTGATTATTACCAGTGACCCGTCACATCGTTAAGTGTGGCGTTCAATAACAAAAAAACATGATTCAGCCCTAAGCAACAATACATGAACACATGGATGTTTTTCAGGTACGACCTGGTTGACGTGTCCAGGAACAGCTTGCAGGTGCTCGCCATCAAATACTACTCTGATGTCATCGCAGCCTACAACAAGAGCGACACAGCCAGTCTCAGGTAGGACAGACCCGAGTTCGATTCCCAAATGGGTACAATGCGTGAAGCCCATTTCTGGTGTCCCCATATTGTTGGAATATTGTTAAAAGCGGCGTAAAACTAACACTCACTCACTGATTCAGGTAGGGCAAGGCTGTATACAGATATATCCAAGCATAGTTGGGTATCAATAACTGCTAGAAGGAATTTGTTGTGAAGCATTCGTCGAATCTACTGGACTATTGTACCAGTACCATTTGCTTAAATAACTGATTCACTGTAAAAAGGGACTTTTAAACTTCGCCGATTAACTCTAATGACCACTTTGCTCAGGACTCTTCGTCTTTGAGGGGTTTCCTATCTCCATACACGTTACGTCCTTTACTGCCAATGTGACATTTTCAATCACTTAAACTCGATGACACTAGCTTGTTTTCCAAGTACTCATAGATTGATTTATTATGCATGTGATCAGAAATCAGTCAAAAGAACACTTAAATCAGGATCCAAGCTACATAAGAAAATATATAATGTGCATAGATCTGCTGGCGCCAAGATGATCGACCTTCTGAGTGACCTTGACACACTCCTGGCTACTGACGTTCACTTCCTGCTGGGCACGTGGACCAGTGACGCGGCAAGACACTTCTCCACACCCCAGGAGAAGGCCTTGTATGACTACAACTCGAGGAACCAGGTCACCCTGTGGGGGCCGTCTGGACAGGTTTGTTTGTTTTTTACTGCTCTGTGACATGGACCGATCAAATAAGCGAGCCTGACCAACCGATCCCGTTAGTCGCCTCCTACGACAAGCATGAGATGCTGAAGATCAATTCTAAACCGGATCTTCACTGGTGGACTGCCATGAAGACATAGAGGTCGCGCCGTAATGAGGTGAAATGTGGTTTAACGTCACGTCCAAGATTATTGCAGTTATATAACGACGTGTGAATATGTGTATGTCTACTCGTACCAATTATACGGACCTATGACGGTGTTAAAGTGTGTAGGTGTAATGTATTCTGTGTACTTAGGAAATTGAAGATTTGGGGACCTGAGATACCATGCCAGCAAAGACACAGTCACCTCCGAGTCTATCGTTCCTTTTTATACCCTTCTGTTGGGCGCCAGACAGCATAACAACAAGTACTATCTTTTAACGTCTTTTAACGTCCTGACGCAGTCTAGAGATCGTACCACAGACCTTGTTCTCCCCGGAAGACGCTCTGTCAGATCGACCACGGCAGCGGTCCCGATATTGCACAGCAATTTTGTTGCCAATCCATATCACACTGTCCCTTGTTTCAAACCCTTAATACCGGGGGCAAGACAGGGTAAAAAGAATTGAGAAGTACTATCTTCAGTCAAGGAAATCCCTCTCTCCGAGAGAAGCTCTGTCATTTACACAACAGAGATAGTACCGATATCGCACAGCAATTGTCTCACCAATCCATATCACACCTGTGTGGAAGGGTGTCCCAGTGGTTTAAGGAGAAGCAATCCGCTGGACGGTTCCATTCCTTAGTCGTGCCAGGATCTGCTGTTTCCTTGTTTCCATGTTACTCTCCCAACTGTTAAACCTCTGCCATTCGCAATCTATTGGTGTCAAAAGTATGTAGATTAAATTGTGAAATATTATATACTGTTTGATAATTTTATAGGCATTTTGATTTTCACAACAAATATAATAACGCATACATTTCAAGTGATGATATTTTGCTCTTTTTCAGATCATGGATTATGCTTGTAAGATGTGGTCTGGACTGATAAACAGGTGGGATAGAATGTACTTTGTCGGATGTTCTACTTAAACTAGATCTGAAGCATAAAGTTGTGGTGAAAAGAAATTGATAATGATTGTTAATGGTTTGTTCGTGTGGTTTCAGATACTACAAACCAAGGTGGCAGCTGTTTATAAACACTTTAATCAACTGTACGGAAACCGTAAGTGTGACGGGACCTGGTTGATGACAAATATATGTGATCCTTCATCTTCCGCTTTTCACTCTCGATTATCCAGTGTGTTATATATCCTTAGTCATGATATAACAGTATATATATCCTGGACCCGTCCGCCATCACAGGTGACGTCATCAACATCTAGTATAACAGATTTAGCACATTGATGATCTTTGCGTCAACAACATGCCCAAATGTCTCTCTTGGCGAAAGTTTTGAATAGATCTAGATTTCAATTCGCTGCCTTCCTGCGAGTGAGGGATCGATATATCTTAGAATCCTAAGACTTTCAGCTGCGAAAAATGTTTTATTAAGTGCAGACACTCCTTGAGTTACAAGACCTTCAGCTCGAGTAAGGCACAGTTGGTCTAAAGCGCCGAGCACAGTTGCGTGACTAGGGCACTCCAGAAACATACGCTCGTAGGTTCGAATCCCTGTTCGCCCCGATTATATTATAGGTTTGTCAGCACCATACGCGTCCTCGTAGACCCGTGACGGTCCGGGTTAGAATAGGTCTTCAGCAACCCATGCTTGGTACAAAAGGCGACTATGCTTGTCGTAAAAGGCTACTAAAGGGATCGGGTGGGCAGGCTCGCTGACTTGGTTGACACATGTCATCATATCCCAATTGCGTAGATCGATACTCATGCTGTTGGTCACTGTATTGTCTGGCCCATAGCTGGAATATTGCCGAGTGCGGTGTTAAAAACAAACCAACCCACCAACCGTGCCCGAAGGTTTTAGCAATACGGTAAACGTGTGAGACCTGCGTCACTGCTGGTATATTGCCCTAGAGTTGTCGATGCATATCGTTATGGAGAGTTTCATATCATATCGATGACATTTCCTATATTAAAAGTTTATGATATATATTTATATTACTAAACAGGGAATAATAATATATTGCAGAAAACAACGTTCGACAGTGGCGTGTACGGTCAGGAAGTGTTTGACACGGTGGAAATACCATTTTCCTACGACCAAACCGACTTCCCTAACGAACCCGAAGGTAGGTTTATAATCCATCATCTCAACCGCCGCGGCCGAATACATGCAATGCACCTCATGCTGGACTCTTTTGGGGCAACATAACGGAGTGAGTGAGTGAGTTTTATTTTACGCCGCTTTTAGCAATATTCCAGCAATATCACGGTTGTTGACACCAGAAATGGGCTTCACACATTGTACCCATGTGGGGAATCGAACCCGGGTCTTCGGCGTGACGAGCAAATGCTTGTGAACCACCGCCCCGGCGACGCAACGGGGATTAGATGGTGGCCATCTATACAGCTGGCAACAGAACTGGTGACAACCTGTCAGTCCTTGTGTTCATGCTATCTACCATTGGTTTATCTATTTCAGTCAGGTCAAACAAAGCACCTTTCTTTAGCTGTTTTAGTGTTTCTGTTTCTTATTTGACGCAAAACTGTATGATTTCAGTATGGGAAAAATGGAGTCTTAGGTTTAAGATTTGGTTCCAGATTACTGCACCTACATTGTACATAGAGATCCAGCATACTTTCTTCGAACCAACGACCGCCTCCGTGGTGTAGTGGTTAGAGCGTCCGCCCGGAGAGCGGAAGGTCGCGGGTTCGATCCCCGACCGCGTCATACCAAAAGACGTTAAAATATGGTACTTGTTGGTCCCTGCCTGGCGCTCGGCATTAATGGGTACAACAAGGACTAGTTTGCTTGGAGTCAGTATAATGTGTCTGAGTGGGGTATTCATGCTTCACTGCGGCATGGTATCTCAGTGGGCTAGCACTATAAAACCAGCTTCAGTCTGGGCTAGTACAAGCTACCGCACCTACACATACATACGCATGCACGTCGTCATATGAGCGAAATATTCTCCAGCGAGACGTTAAACCCAATTTCACCTCACCTCACCTCTTCGAGCCGACCATACTTTGTTCAGTCGACTGAAAGACAACAACAAGTACTCTGTCCCACTGGACCACGACGGCGGTCTGACCGAATCGAAATAAGAATTTCAGTGACCACCAATCCACGCAGCTTGCCATTCGGGCCTGTGACTGTGGAGATTTACTGGCCCGACTGTATCTTTACTAGCCACGGGCTAGCGGGCCAGTGGCTATTTCGGACACTGCTGGATACTACAATGCAATAAGAAAACAATCTCGAGCTCAGATTGTTTGTGATCAAGTCTGTAAATTGGTAAGTCTCTGACTAAGAATACCCAAACGACCATATGGTATGGAGGTATGTTACAATAAGGAATCGAGCCCGCTCTGGCACACTGAATTATTGTCAAAGCCTTCAAATGTTAAAATAGAAAGATACACTTAGTTCGGTGACTCGCCTACAGCGCATATATGCAAGCACATTTTCGTGGAAGCAATAAGTCAGCTTGTTATTTTGTAGCAAGTATGTCGCCAAAGGATTTGCTTACATTATTATGAAGATGCGTTGTTGCGGGGGATATAGAAACGAGTTCCGTCCGTCTGTGCGTCCGTCACATTTTGTCCGAAGCATATCTCTTAAACTATTCGTGATAGCGTAACCAAACTTGGTACACATGTCAACCATGATCCCTGATGTGCATTTTGGAAGTTAGACCCAGATATGAATTTTATTTTTGCTGTTTCCATGGAAACATGACATAGGTTGTGACTATGAGGATGTCATCTTGTCCGGAGCAGATCTTCCAAACTATACATGCTAGCTTCATCAAACTTGGTACATATGTCAAGCATGATCCATAGATGTGCCATTTGATGACTTGACCCAAATACGAATGTTATTTTGTGCGGTTTTCATGGAAACGTGACTTAGGCAGTGACTATGAGGAATTCATCTTGTCCGGAGCAGATCTCCTAAACTGTACATGCTAGCTTTATCGAACTTGGTACACATATCAAGCATGATCCATAGATGTACTATTTGATGGTTAGACCCAGATACAAATTTTATTTTTTGTGGTTTCCGTGGAAACGTGACTAAGGCTGTGACTCTGAGGATGTCATCTTGTCGGGAGCAGATCTCCCAAACTATACATGCTAGCTTTATCAAACTTGGTACACATGTTCACCATGATCCATAGATGTGCCTTTTGTTACACCAGAGTGTGAATTTTATTTTGTGTGTTTCCATGGAAACGTGACTTGAACTGTGACTCTATGAAGAAGTTATTTTGTCCGGAGCAAATCTCCCAAACTCTCCATGCTAGCTTTACCACACTTGATATGCATGCCTGTTGTGATTTCCTTATAAATATTGATTGCCATGTCAAAGTTTGTACTGTTGCGGGGGATACTGATGACTTTCTCTTCTTGTTTATAGACTGACTTCCTGTTTATAGATTGATTATTGTGAAAGTTGCGCACCTGTCCAATATACATCATGTTGATCACTGAAGCTGAAACCTGTTTCCTCCTCCTTCAGGTGATGCCATTGCAGCGGCGATCCAGTTCCATTCCAAATACCGCCCAGAAACCAAGTCCACGTTCTTCTCTCAGTTCACCAACGTCCATTCATCGGACACCGTGGGCAAATTCCACCATGATTATGCCAAACGCTTTGGTCTGGCTTTGTAGTAGAGCAGAGGAAATTATGATACCAATGTATGTCAAATTTCTTAGACATAATGAGAATAAACATTATTTGTTAAAAATTGGCAGATGTTGTTTAAGAAAGGTGCATCACCTAGCCGTCCATGTTGCTCCGAGATTCTACCCGTGAAGATCTGGGTTAGAATTTATCTTCAGCAACCCATGCCTGTCGTTGACACACGCCATAGTATCCCAATTGCCTAGATCGATGCTCATGCTGTTGATCACTGTATTGTCTGGTCCAGGCTCGATTATTTACAGACCGCCGCCATATAGCAGGAATATTGCTGAGTGCGGCTTTAAACAACAAACTAACCAACCAACACACAGATGAGGTTCTTGAGAGGCATACAGAAGTTGGTATTCAAGTATAAGACAAAATATGTTATGGATGTCAACTTCTTCTTTATTGTATACACAACGTTTCTGGGCTATTCCCTGACGAAGGGGCAAGGAATAGCCCAGAAACGTTGTGCATACAATAAAGAAGAAGTTGACATCCATAATATTTTGTCTTATACAACACACTGACTGACTGACTGAAGTTTGGTTTTACGCCGCTTTTAGCAATATTCCAGCAACATCACGGCGGGGGACACCAGAAATGGTCTTCACACATTGTACCCATGTGAGGGATTCGAACCCGGGTCTTCGGCGTGACGAGCCAACGCTTTAACCACTAGGCTACCCCACCGCCCCTATACAACACACAGATGGGATCGAAAAACGCCAAGCATACATTCTTGTGTGTAGTACTCTTGAACTTTTCCATTCTCTTCTATTAACGATGTATGTCTATGAAACCTTCAGTAATACACTCTTCAAAATTCAAAAAAAGAAACGCTTAGGCGATTTTTAGAATATTGGACTCGTGTAGCTGCGGCAAAAACAATACAAATATATTGTTTCTTTCCAAAACGCTATCTTTGCGTGATTGTTGACAGCTTCTTCGCCAAAACTCGGCAATTTTAACTTTTTCCCTTGTTTTAGAAGCGCTTGAGGAAATATTCACAAAACGTCACCAAGAAAACATGCAAAGCAAAATGCACGTGCAAGTAACCGGGAAAAGTATGCGGTATCGATCACTAAAAAGGAAAACGTTGTATTTAATTGTGCCATTCGTTTTTGCCTGGAAAAGAGGAACTCATCAAGCCACGATTCAGTGCCGCGAATCGAAACATCGCCACAGGCCGCCTTGAAGCTGGAGATTCGCAGTCTGCAGTTGCCCGACATTTTAATATTCATTAGAGCACCATATCCCGCCTTTGGGATAGTTTCTTAAAATTCCGCCCAAGATCGCCCGAGAAGCGGCCGTCCAAGAGTTACTACCCAAGCCCAGTACCGCTACATCCGGGTTGCTCACTTGCGTCATCGTCTTGACACAGCCATGGAGACGGCACAAGGCATCCATGGTTTGAGAAATATTTCCAACCAAACTGTCAGGAGTCGATTGCGTGATGTGGGAATTCGACCAAGACGGCCAGTTGTCGCCCCTGTTTTGAGAGACTTCCATCGGTGCAATCACTTGCGGTGGTGTCGTAGAGTCCGGAACTGGAACCTTAGAAACTGGAGGCGAGTCTGGTTCAGTGATGAATGACGATTTTTCTTCACCTGCGAGATGGAAGACAGCGTGTTTACCGTCGGTGTAATGAACGTTTTGCCCCTAATTTCATTCGACAGGTCGACAGATTCGGTGGAAGCAATGGCATGCTGTGGGATGAGCACATAAATATCTGATTAAGTGGTGGTTCGGGGGAATTTGACAGCAAATCGGTACATCAACGAAGTCCTTGCACGTCACATGCTTCCGATTATGGAACGACAGAGTTAGTTATTCCAACATGACAACGCTACTTCACATACAGCACGCGTCACGGTCCGCTACCTTGCCAATTCTAACGTCAATGTCTTGCCATGGCATTCCCAATCACCAGATCTAAACCCGATAGAACATCTATGAACTCAATAGACGTGTACGTCAACGTGGAAACACGCCCCAGACACTTCAACTACCAGAAGAATTCCCCAAAAGCGACTTAGTCGACTTATCCAGTCTGTGCCGAGACGGTGCCGAGCAGTAATTGCTGCCAATGGTAGCCATACAAAGTACTGACTTTGACACAGAGGCGAAGGTGGCCATATCTGAAACAAACCAATAACAACTAAGAGTTGACATAAATTCACTATCTTCTTCTGCTTTTGTATACCGCAGTCATTGTTAAATAATGAACATCTTTTTAAAAAGAGATAAGATTGCAATTCCTTTGTGTATACATTTGGATTATAGTTTTAGTGCCAAGCATATGTGTGTGTGTCTGGACTTTGCAGTTGTAACGGACTCACATTATCAAACATTCAGTCTCAAATGTCTTTTTTGCCCGTGTAACTTAACATCGTTTGAAAGACGTGATTGGTTTTATACAAACTGGCAGTTTGAGGTTTGTGTCATGCTTTTATCACCAGTATGCCTTCAGTGATTCACTGATTGTATATATCATTTGAACATGGGACTCTCAACGAGACTGGGCGGTGCGGTAGCAGAGTGGTTAAAGCGTTCGCTCGTCACACCGAAGACCCGGGTTTAATTCCCCACATGGGTACAATGTTTGAAGCCCATATCTGGTGTCCCTAGTCGTGATATTGCTGGAATATTGCTAAAAGCGGCGTTAAAATAGTCACTCACTCACTCACTCAACGAGACTGGAGTTCACAGACGGAGCTCCTGTTAAAACAAGCGATTTCCTACAAAGATTAGAACTAAAATGGCAGAGCTAAAAAGTGAACATATCAGTTCAACCAGATATCAGTAGAAAAGAACTATATCAATTAAAATATTTACACAGTTCACTATTTGGTACGAGGGAGGAGTGCAAAGAGAAGAACAGCACAGGTAAATGACTCCATAACTTTGTCGGCACTTGTGCTCGTGCTTCTCGTACACCTGGCTGTCCCTTTCGCTGCACTCCTGCCTCGTAACAAATAATGAATGGTGTAAACATTTCTATATTGTTGCATGCGTCATAGTCGTATCACAAAATTAGTCGAAAACTAGTTTTAAAGAGAAACAGTAATATATTTATTGCTCGTAGGCTTTTCTTTGGCAACAAGACATTTTATAGCTCAAACTACTGCCATGCAGCTTTAAAAATATAAATTCACGATAAGATTATGAGGTTGCTGTCCTCCATTTCCCAACCAGCTCTGAGGTGAATAAACTGGGAGCACATTACAGACGTGTCATAGAAAATTGGGTACATAAATAGGGTCCACTCTTCAGACGTGTTTAAAGATAACGAACCAGAATCTCTGCGTCAACCTTCACAGATGTAAGGGCCAAACATCGCAGCACAAAGCTATTTTACGACGTTTATTCTTGCTGGTTGTCACGAACGAAGACAAGGACAGGTAACTATTTGTGTGTATTGTATATGTATGTATATGACTCCCAAGAGTCAAATTGGCATATAATTTGTTATTTATCTCATGGAATAATGACTGATCACCCGACCTTATAATGTGTGACATTTTAAACAAGTCTGAAACAAGTCTTTCTGTGAAACGTTTTACTGATTATATTTTCATGCTATCAGGGTCAACATGTTTCGACATGTTTCGACATTAGTTTCAAAACTGGAATGTCTCCTGCCAGCTTCATAAGAAGGTTATGCGCAGTTATAGTGAAATTAGTTCATTTCCAGTTGTCATGTTTTCGCAAACACGTCCGTCATGAATATTTCCTCTTTCTGTTTTAGACATACACAAAATCCGCGACCCCGTAACACGATGTTAACTGAGATTATACTGGGGGTAGCTGTTGTGCTGTTTATAGCCTACATTTATCAGTGGAAACGGAAGTATAGCAAGATGCCTCCAGGTCCAAAACCACTGCTAGTAATGGGCAATTTCCTAGAAATAAAGGAAGCTACAATGGTCAACGACCTCACTCGATTGGGTTCGCAATACGATGGCATATTCACGGTCCATTTCCTAATGACGCCGGCACTCATTCTGGACCGGTTCCACACCATTAGGGACCTCCTTCTTTCTCCTCCATATGCTGACATCTTCAGTGGAAGGGTGAGCAGCTATTTTAGCAAGCATTTGCTGCCGAATGATATGATTTTCCAGACGGCCAGTGACAGACAGCAATACCTGAGAAAACTGACCTTTCGAGGAATAAAACAATATGGAACTGCACTGAACAATGTTGAGCATCTTGCCCAAGCAGAAATACAAGAAATGATCAAAAGGTGCAGAGAACGAAATGGGGTCTCTTTTGACCCGTGGGATGATCTGAATCAATATGTCTGCAACATGATCTTGGTTTTGGTAAGTTGTTGACTTCACCTGAAGACTTAATCTATGGTAACCAGGAAACATATTAGTAGTAGTACAACTAACTGACTATCTGCTACAGATATTTACGCTTATAACCGAAGCATTCAACTGGACTAAGTATATTTCTTTTCAGGTTTGTGGACAAAGATTTCAGCCTGGCCATCAGACACTGGAGATTTGTCAAAATGTTGCCGCTGATTTTGAGTATCTCTTCCACTATAAGAACCAGATTCTTATGGACAATGTCCCGTTTAGTACGAAGTTAATGCCAAAGTTGAGACGAGCTTGTCAAACCATGAAGAACGGATTCAACTATTTTGCTGAGATAATTGACAAAATTTCACAGGTAATTGTCACAAACCGATTCCATGAAATTTCCATTATCTCAAGTGAATGACGTCTGAATGAATCTGTGGAGACAATAGCATTGTATACAGAAATGCATCTAATATTGTAGTATATAAGGGATCGTATGCAACGCGTTTCATAATTTCAAAATGCTGTTCCTGTTTGTAGGAATCCAAAGATACAATGCCCGATTGTCTCTACACATTGCTATTAAAAGAACGTGAGGAGGGAAGGATATCGAATGAAAATGTAAAAGGAGTTCTGATGGATGCCCTTGTTGGAGGTAATACTGGACAAATATTACTAAAACTGTCTGTGTGCAGATATAACTTTGCACCCTTTCCTGTTATGAAAGGAAGATGATCAATTCCCCTGA